TGAGCTTCTTTAGTGTCATAGTAATGTTTTTCCCAGGAAAGTTTTCGTTAAACAGCATCGCAGTTTTATCCCTTTTTTCTCCGAAATCGTCACTCGCTCCCTGCAATCCATCATGGCCTACAACCATGCCGACCGGCTATTTATCATGTATACAGAGAAAATATTGTTCATGTGGCTCTAAGTATGACCTCATGGCAAGATAAAGACCAAAATATCGTCTTTCCCATAACGTAACGCTCTTCGCGTTGCCACACCGGAAACCAGACAACTGTTCCGGGTAAGAAAACTTTGAAGGCCACGTCATGAATGGCTTACAGAAAAAGATCATATGTTCATTTTAAAGTTCTCTTTTGCCACGCGAAAAAATAATCAATTTGGTATAGCTGCAAGATAAAATGATTAGGTTTCGAAGGGGATGTGGATTTGTTTTGTGTGTGTGCGCGTACGCTTTTTCGATGATGCTACTAAGTTCTCCTCCGGATTGTAAAGTGCGTTTCTAAATACGAAAGTGATACGTAATCATCCCGGCCAGAGTCACTCTGCCTCATACCGCGTCTAAAAAATGCAAACGACTTTGGTCGCCATTTCAGAAATTTCTGGAACAAGTTAAGCAGCTCGACTGAAAAATAGTTCAACAAGCGTGTATGGTGAAAACCGGACAACAGCTTCAAGGCGATCTTATATTCTTGTGAAGCGCCATTATCTTGGAGTTTGCGAGTATAAAATGCGCGTGCGGCGAGTTTACAAAGCACAGAATTTCGTGCTGAGCGGACTGTGCAAACGGAAGCGACCTAAAGGGACTCCTTATAAGACTATAAAACCTAAAGCTTAGGAGAACCTGGCATCCTGGTAATCCGTTTATCATAGCATTTCAAAAGCAATCTTCTCGATGGTCTGGAAATTTCGAGGAGACATGTTGAAGATGAGTTCACTTCAGAACTGTCTTCCACTCCAAAGAAATGATATGACAACATAAAGTGATTTTGGAAGGTTGATTTAACGCTCCTCGAAATTTTACGCAATTTTTGCAATATACACAAAACATTTCCCGTAATGACTTGAATCAAGTTGACATCGACCGCTTCAAAGCACAGCTAACGTAGGAAACAATTGTCATATTATATCGCAGTCGGCCCAAGCTCCAGCTGTGAGATGATCATCTTGCAAAATAATAGTCATGGCGAAATTATAAGTTTATAATATTGTAACTTATAATTATAAGCTTGCGACCGGTCTGATGAATAAATTTATAATCAAATTCTCAATGAAAATATCTCACCTTACTGTTCTTCTACAACGCATCGCTTGTTATCTGACCGCTCACTACGTTGAGGGGAACCCATTTTAGCGAGTTATCCATTTCGAGGTTTTCTACGTACATGAGAAAAGCTTGGGGACGACAAAATAAAATGATCCGACGAATTAGACTGGTTTACGTGAACAAATTTTAACTGAGTGTCCAAAGTAATCCAGGAATGCATTGCGGAAGCTTCCGTTTCACCTTTGGAGGGGGGGGGGATACGGCTACACGGAGGCCATGCTTTTGCTTGATTACGCTCAGTGATTGTTGCAAATAACTCACGCCATCCTCGCAGCCAATCAAATTCAAAACTGACCCTAATCCTGTCTTAGTCACTTTAGTAACACCCGCCCCAAGTACTTCGGTTCGTTTCACTCACAGGTTTGATTGGTTCATTTTTACAATTTCCTCTCTACTGATTGACTGTCGTGAGTTTTGGTTTCGAAAGAGTTTTGGTTTCAAGAGATTCGATCAAAATGCTATCTAATTTTGTACATGGTTAGCTCAAAATGAAAGCAGATCACGAGCACTCAAGGAGAACGCACCTCTATTTGATCAATTTCTAATAAAAATAAAGTATAATTATTAAAAACGTACATCACAGGTTATTCTTCTTATGCAATATATCTCGGCTATCAACGAGCATCTACTTATTTTGCTTATTAAAACTACTCCGGAAGCTGTTCGGAAGGCGGTTACAATTATCATCTTAATATGCACTCTAAGGTGTGCCCTTGACTGTTTCCGAATATCTGCTTACTTTATCTCTTCTATTTTGTCCGGAAGCTGTTTGGAGGGCGGTTTTAAACAAATCCGTTGTCCATTGGGATCTTCAGTTAGTCTTTACTTTCTCCGAAATCACATGCAAGTAATTGCAGAGCGGATAGCTTGTTTTCCCTCCATGTTCACACATGCGTGCATCTCGATTGAACATTATGTTAAATACACACTATGAGCACTGACTACTGCACTACACAAGAATTTTCAACAGTAACCACAACAGTTCAAAGCGTTAGGTTTGTCCAGCTTCTTTCTTGAATTAAAACTAATCTCGTGACAATCTGTTGATTTGTCTGATTGCCTGTGGAGTAGGCTGTGGCAAACAGACCTCTCCTGTACGTAATAATCTGAGGTACAGTTAGGAAAATTCTAGCCTTACCTGGTTAAACTGGATTGAGCTGATGTTCAGTTCAGGATAACCTCTTCTTTGAGCGGGCCGCAAATATGGTCGAATGATCGAAACAGAAACAACTGTCTGTAAAATATGCTTTCAGGGTAATTAATTCAAATTTTGTTCTTAGCTATCATTGAAGCGTAACGTGATAGTTCACAACATGCTTAGGCAGAAAGAACAATATCATTCCGTTTACAGCGCCGTGGGCAAAGGGGCGTGGAGACTCACAGGCTCGCGAACCATCTATGTCGTGGGCTTCTTTAAAAACCGTTGCATATTGCATTCTGCCCTGGCGTGCCAGCGCCTTCTAAGGTGGCCTTACAACTCAAATCCATTGCTATACATGTTAAAATCAACGAGTCTTAGTCTTGTATACCAAGAAGGTTAGCTTTGCAGCTCCACTCTGTTATGAAATTTCAGCTGGAAGCCTCCACTTAGAAAACTCACCAACCAATATATAACACTGAAACTAAATCCCTGGTGGCCGGGAATAAATTACCGAAAGTAATAGAGGTTTGCTTGGTTGAGAGATTTCGATCAGACAAAGCGCTTGTCTCACTTTTCACACTTACTAAACTTCTTATAAATTCCCTTGATGTTCAACAATATATAAATTACGTAACCTGAATAGTGTCATCACTAAGCCTGCTAATCTTGTTTGCACTTCAAGAATTTGATCCAGTTAGATGATATGTACTGAACTTTGGTAATCATTATATTCTCAGCAAGTTTTAGCTGTTTTGGTTGAAGGAATAGGGAAGGGAGGTTGAGGGACTCTTAAAAGACTCTGTTTTAAATCATTAAATTGAGCGTGATGAAACATTTTGAGCATAGTTTTTGGCATAAGGCCATGTTGTCAGGTGTGATGCTCGAAGTGTAATGTTAGCCTCAAGTAAGTAACACGCTCCGCGAACATTCGTAGCCTACGAGACAAAGACTGATACAGAAGGGAATTGGAAAAGGAATCCATCTCCTTGACAGGGGATCAAACAGTGATTAATAGGAAAATGTTAAGTGTGAGCAGCAGTTTCTTAAATTTTCCTACGACGCGTTTTTTATAATGCTTTTCTAGAAAACGATGATAAAAAGATTGAACTTGATGTGATAAACCCACATCTATGATTTCAATTGTTTCAGACGGACGCAACAGGCCGCTGAAAGACAAAAGAGGCTTAGTTCTGGGAGATACAAGTACAAAGCGAAGAAAAGAATTTAATATTGCCTTGCGTGATATACCGACCGGTGTTTCGTGAAGGAAGATGCAAATATACCTAACGACTCATTTATAGAAAAAAAACACAGGAATCTTCGACACATATTTTCCTTCTAATACCATAAAAGGAAAAGAGTTGACTAAAAATTACAAAGCCTTGGATCTCTCGGGGATTATTAAAACCATTAACCAAAAGAAAAAGTTGTACAGACAATACCTGAGCCCTCACTCAGATGAATACATACTGAATACATACAAAACATGTAAAATTAAGCTGACGCGGCTATTAAGAATTACAAAAAAACAATACTATGAAGCCCTGCTTGCTAAAAATAGAAGTGATATCAAAGCTACATAGAAAATTCTAAATTGTGCTATATATCGTTCGAAACGTAACCCCATTAAGCAGGGACCGCGCAGAGGGAGGGGCTGGGGGGGCTTTAGCCCCCCCACTTTTTTTTAAAATAATTTAACAAAAAAATTTTCCTTCACGCATTCTTCTTTAGCCCCCCCACTCGTAAACTTGCCGCGCGGTCTCTGTTAAGATTTCTCTGATACAGTAAGACGTGTGACTATTACTGATTCTGAAGAGATTGCAAGCAGGTCTTGCCATTACTTTGCTAACGTTGGCCCAAATCTAGCAAGCAAGATCATCTCATTGTTTTAGTGCTTTAATAAATACTTAGGGCCAGTCTCGTCTTCCCCCCTACAACATTTTGATCCCGGTCAAATAAACGAGCTCCTTAAAGTTGTAAAAACTTTACAGACGGCAAAGCTGGACAATTTGCCTTTGTCTTCCAGTAAGAGGTCCTTTGATTTTATGTGTGAGCCATTGTTGCATATTCAATATGTCTTCGACTTAAGGTATTTTTCCATCTAAACTTAAAGTTGCTTAAGTGGTCCCTGTATTAAAGGACGACCCGTCTTGACTGAAAATTATAGATCAATTTCAATACTTCCTGCTTTTTCGAAAGATTTGGAAAAAATTGTATATAATCGTATCTCAAGGTACCTGACGAAAAATATGATCTTGGTGTAACAACTGGTTTTGCATACGAGATGCTGAATGTTTATTTTTAGCCCACGATACCAGCATTATTTAGCAAAACCGAAATCTAAAAGTGCTCATGTATTATCTCAAATTTGTCATGTTGCGACTTGGCTAAAAGCTAAAAAAATTGTTCATTAATGAGCAAAAAACAAAGATCATCATTTTTAGAACTCAACCGAAAAAATTTCCGGCGACAAGCCCTCTCAAAATTGTAATATGAAACAAGGTTTCACGCAATTAACAAATCTCTTCTCTTGTTGCATTATTCTCCTGCCTCTTGCCATTCTCTCCATTCACCAGATCTTCTCATTTCCCTTCTCTCTCTTTCTATCATTTCTCTATTTCTTCTCATTCTAATCTCCCTTTCCCTTCTGTCTTGATTCGTTTGAAGTTGTTCCCGCTCCAATTCACGCTGTTCTCTTTCCCGCATTCTCCTGTTCATTTGGACCGTTGCTCTAGCTACTCCTTGCATCAATGCAAGATGACTGTTGCTCGTGGACTCTAAAGACTCAACATTCCAAGGCCTTATGTTCAGTGGAGACAATGCAAACAAATTTGAAGCTTGAGAGTTTGTTAGGAAAACTTCGGCCGAAGGGGAACCAGCTGCAGAAGAGTCGGTAGCAGTGTTGTTTGGCCCGGCAGTCTGGAGAAACGAAACAAAATAAGATAATTTCCAACAATGTTTATTACATGGCTAACTCCTCGAACGGGAGATGTAGACTCATTTTACCCGCTTGGAATGCGTGTTTTGATGCCTCATAAATCTATGAGCTGTTTTTGTTTTAAATAAATAAAAATTGGAAAGATATCGCTAAACACTTACATGGGGCAGCCGTGACAACAAAAACAACAACGATTTTCGTTAGTTTATTTTGCCATTTTCTAAAGTATCTTTTTGTAATGCAGGGAATCAATATTTTGACTAGGTTTGAGCGATCAAATTTTTCTGGATTATTCAGACTCATAGTTGTTTTCCAGTTTTTATGTCGTAGTCAATAAAAGCTGCGATCTCAGTTTCAATTTCGGTGATTGAAAATTACTTTTACAACGCCCTTCCTGCCCTAGCAGACCCGCAATGTAGTTCCAGAAAAGCAATATCAGTGTCCCTCTCTTCATCTAAAAGCTATGCTGTATTCAGTTTTTCTTACCTCTGCCCCCATCCCTGTGCCTTGGTCATGGCGTGAGCCATTTTGATAACGAAAAAGCAGTCCCAAGCGTAAGGTAGGGTCTGTAGTGTGTCTGGCCACGAAGGAGTCTGTCAAACCGTTAGCTTCGTTTTCCATGATACATGTATTTGCGACTGAAAGAAACCAACGCAGTACAAACAGAAAGCAAAGTAAGAAAAATTAAAAGTGAATGGATATAGTTTTCAGTGTTCATTCAGTGCACTCGTGAATCAAGTTCCACCATTTGCAGTCGAACGATTTCACACGTTGATGAAAGGATTGATCGAAAAACTTGATAAGTAGGCAATAGACAGAAATCTGTGTAGATGGTCTGCTTTCCGGGTAATTAATTCAAATTTTGTTCTTAGCTATCATTGAAGCGTAACGTGATAGTTCACAACATGCTTAGGCAGAAAGAACAATATTATTCCGTTTACAGCGCCGTGGGCAAAGGGGCGTGGAGACTCACAGGCTCGCGAACCATCTATGTCGTGGGCTTCTTTAAAAACCGTTGCATATTGCATTCTGCCCTGGCGTGCTAGCGCCTTCTAGGGTGGCCTTACAACTCAAATCCATTGCTACACATGTTAAAATCAACGAGTCTTAGTCTTGTCTACCAAAAAGGCTCGAAGTGTAATGTTAGCCTCAAGTAAGTAACACGCTCCGCGATGAAAGGATTGAAGTTTGAAAGCGTGGGCGTAGTGTGTCAAATCGTCGTAAATTTGCTCACAAGAAAAATCTACTCTGTAAACATCTATTCAGATGTCTCAGGTTGAATCGGGGGTTCAACTATTCCTGTTGCGCACAACGCATTACATTACTACCTTAACATGAGAAGGATAAAATGCTTGTTTATCGCAGTCACTGCCGTTATTCACAATTTTCGAAAAACTTGATAAGTAGGCAATAGACAGAAATCTGTGTAGATGGTCTGCTTCCGGTACCAAGCCTTATTGAAGCGCTAACATTTATTCAATCATTTCCGAAAAAAACGCTATTTGCGTAGAAGTAGTGATGGAAAGACAAGAGTAAAGCAAAAATATACTAGATTTTCCACCTGTATGTGTAATCATGCTCGCTCATCAGGTTTAAAAGCCTTTAGGCAAGTTAGCTTTCCTAAGGAAGAGAAAAAATTCCAAGAACAGAAAGCAAGATCGTTAGCCCATCGAAATCTAACAATTTTAAAATACCATCGGAGATTCCCCAGACGCCAGCTACTTTTAAGTGCTGATGTCTCTGGTGTGTCTCAGCAACAAATCCCAGCAAGAAACCAAAACATGTAAAAGCATAACAACTGTATTGTGACAATCGCTTAAGGTACATTTTGCTGACCCAAGAATATAACAAACCAAAGGCTCTTGATATTAGCAGGCAAGTCAAGAATTTAAAGAAAGCGACAAAACTTTTGAGTTTGTAAAACATGTTTCGACAGAAACTTCTGTCATCTTCAGTTAATTACTGTACAATAGAACGATGCTAATATGATAAATAGTGACAACAAGAAAAGAGTTAAAGCATGAAAGTGTGAGAATTAAAAGATAATTTTAGATTTACATGGTGTAATTGTTGATTCAAGGATAGTTGTTCCCTTTCAATATGGATAGCCTCTTTTATCTTAAGCTGAAAGCCGGTAGAGGCGTGATCTAAAACGTGGAAGTTATCTGCTGAACACAAAGCGCGACAATTTGGAGAATCTTTCAGATGCTTGAAAATGTGAAAGGCCCTGTCACTGACTAAGTGCCCTCAAACACGTGTGGAAAAATGCCGGCAAGTTTCACCGACGTAACAGGCATTACAGCCAGCACATGCAAACTTATAAAACCACTACTCAGGGTAGTTTTAAAGTCAAATCGTTACTTTTTATCGAAACAATCGTCTAACATCTACATCACTTTTATTCCTTTACTGTTAGTATTACGAAGTTATGAGATATACTTTTCTTGCACAGTTATTTTAATATTCCAACGATGGACTTCCAGCCGTTTTACGCTTTAAGAACGTGGAAGGTTCATGTTGTCATTTTCTCTTTTCATGCTATTCATTTTCACACGCTGCTTACCACCCTCCAATTCCGGTATGTTTTCGCACGATTCGACTTCCGGTGTGTCGATTCGTCAACAATCCTGTCGAAAAGTACACACGAGTGACCACGAATGACCACGAGTCACCACGAGTCACCACGAATGACCACGAGTGAAAAAGCGGAAAAAATTAATCAAGTACTAAAATAAAAATAATTGATTAGATAAGAAAAATATTACAGTGAATTTTATGGGAAATATTAAAGGAAAAAGAACTGTAGGGCTGACCGACATTCCGCAAAGGAAACTTCTTTGCGGTACTGACGACTCTCGACTCAAGTGAATCAATCCTGACACTTGATCTATGGGAAGTGTATCATATATCTTTTCGTCCTACATGTTACTGGTGAAGATGGCGTTCTTGAGTCGCTGAGAGGCAAGTAATTGCTAAAGGTAAGCCAAATTTGGTTTTGTTGGTTTAAGAATGAATTTATAATCATAGAGAATTCTCTGAGATAAGATGAATCATTCTTCTAACTTGGGACATGCTGCATGATCATCGGCTGTAAATTTGAGCGGGGATTAGAGACATTATCTTGTTTATCGTCGCAAAATGTTGAGTAAACTACGTTGAATACTTCTGCACGATACTCGGGAGCAAATATGCTTTGCGGTCATCCGATTATGTTAATCACCCGTATGATTACAGACCTAATAATATGCATAAAAAAAAAAAAAAAGTTCTGATTGGTTAGGATAAGTGCAGTTTTCTGGTAATTCAATGCGGAGGAGGGTTAGTTCAGTGCAAAGGAAGTGACAAACCAGACATTCTGATTGATCACAGATAGCCAATCGTCGCAACATTTGGCTACGCTGAAAATTTGCGAGCGAAACAATAGCCGGCGTTGTTTTAGGTTTTTTTTTCGATCCAGCTTAACACTTTTCTGGAGCGATTCTAAAAACAAACATGGTTAACCTCGAAAACGACGATTCTGTTCCATCGAAAGTGATTCGGACACAGACTGAACAATTCCTTGATGAACTGTTTAGCTAGACTTCGAGATGAAAATAGCATTGTATATTACTGTTTTGATCGTTCGCGGTTGTTTTGACCGAATGAACAGTTGAATAAATTATTTTTGCACTTGATGCGCACGCTTTGCTTTTGCGTAATTATGATAGGCTATCTCTATTTTTTCTCGTGCAGTTTGAAATAAATAAGCACTTGTTATTTTTTTTCACAGACCACAAATTGCACTCGCCCTAGCTACGGGCTCGTGCAATTTTATTAGTCTTTGAAAGAATTTACTCATGCTTATATTTATTCCAAATTGCACTCGAAATCATGCGATTACCATAGTAAACTGTTTTCACCACAGCCTGGAAGTTTTCAACAAACACTGCAACATTGCATGTAACTCGACCGACGCAGAATTCGAATTTGGCGAGACAGACGCGGTAATATGCATTTTTATATTTCCTGATATCAATATAATTTTTTTGGGACTCTTTTCCTAGTTGCTTGAACCGTGAAAACAAAGAAATTGCGGTGCACACTGAAGTGCCGATAACTTAAGGAGTGAGATAAACAAGTTTAATGCCGTTCACAATACATTTTCAATATTACGTGATCGATGTGTGGCAAGTCTCACGGTGGACATGGTTGACCCTTATCAGTTCGCTAACTTTCCTCTGATGATTTGATTGTCACGAATTTTGCGCTTAAAATTAAATTTGAAGGACCTCCCTCTTTTATCAGCGCCCACGCAGCCAAGCAGCCCCACAGATAGAAAAAGAAAACAACAGAAGAAATTTTTGCAAATGTTTACCTCTAATTCAGTTTCTTTTATCTATCAGCCCACGTTTCTGGATCAGGCTATTTAAAGACCAAAGATCGACCTCCTCTCAACACGTCAAAGTGATCAGAAAGAAGGGGAATCCCCTAATTCAGTTTCTTTTATCTATCAGCCCACGTTTCTGGATCAGGCTATTTTAAGACCAAAGATCGACCTCCTCTCAACACGTCAAAATGAAGGGACAATCGAAGCAATCAAAGGGGCTTGTCAAAACCGAGAAGGCTTTTAGATGTAACGACCCCAAAAGCCAAATGATTCAATCATTTTTTTCACAAGTGGCAAGAAAATCCAGTTGCAAGGAAGTTCTTACAATTCAGTGATAATGGACTCGCTCCAGAGGTTTTTCATGCATGTTTAACCCAAATTTGATTTGCTACTTTTGATTTGCGTTACCCGTGGTCGAGCGAATCAAGAGGTGTTAGCACTTCAAAAGAAAGAACTGACTTAAATTGTGGAATGATGTTCTCATCAACAATAGGCAACATTCTATGTATTTTTAGCGTTGGTGCACTTTCAATGAATGTCTGGCTGTGTGGGCGCTCAAAAGGGAAAGGAACGTGGAAGTTTATTCGAGCGACAAACGCGTGGCAATCAAATCACCGCTGAGTCATGTATAAATATATATTTTCTTAATGTCACTGAATGTGATCTGAGACAGAGTAGCGATCAGAACACAATAGCGAGAGCGACTTTTTTGTGGAACTAACTGACTACTTTGTAATACGACTGTGGAACAAAATGACCGGATACCGAGTTCGCTTAAACCTTGAAGGGGAATTTTAAAAGATTTGGGAGTTGAAAAACAAAGGACCGCAAATAAGGGAAAAACGATGTTTACTGTTTTCTTATCGTCACAGTATACATTTTCATCAAAGCAAAGATTAAATGACTGCTTCAAAATAAATTAAATGGTTTGGACTGTAGTATATTGATTGTTTTGATTTGTCGCGTATTGGCGGACGTGGTTTGCCGTGATTCGAGTTACCGAGAGTAAACACAGGACGAAATCACATGTTTCCGTATTTGTGAAACGTGGCGGAAACATGCAACTCCAGGTTATCCGTCGTGTTTCCGGAACGGTTTAACATGTTTCTGCCACGTTTCTGTTTACGTTGGATTTAACATCAAAAATGAAACTGATGTGGTGAGATAAAATTCTCTTGATTATGACTTGAGGGAAAACGGAAGAAAAACCCAACGCGCTTATTTTATGAGAGACAATTTACAAATACACCCTCTC